TCGGACGAGTGGGCCGTCTCCGGCGACCTCCTGTACTTCCGCGGCAAGGTTGTAGTCCCTAAAGACAAGGACCTAAGGAGGCGCATCATCGAGCTCTGCCACGATACGCGAGTCGCCGGACACGCCGGGCGGTTCAAGACCTTAGAGTTGGTTTCGCGCAACTACTGGTGGCCGCAGATGTCTCGCCATATCGGACGCTACGTCGCGACCTGCGACTTATGCTGCCGCACGAGCCCTCCGAAGGCTTCCGCACGGAGAGGCTCCATCCGACCGAAGTCCCGCCCGAACGTTGGCACACTGTCACTGTAGACTTCATTGTCGAGCTGCCCGAGGCCCATGGGTATGACGGGTTATGGTAGTGGTCGACGCCCTCGGAAAGCGCCCCACTTCACTGAGTGCCATACGACAATAGACGCGGTCGGAGCTGCCCGCTTGTACTATCGGAACGTCTGGAGGCACCACGGAACCCCGAGAAGTACATTTCGGACCGTGGCTCGCAGTTCATCGCTGACTTCACGCGAACTCTGGCGCTTAATTGGCGTCAAACCGGCTACCTCCACGGCTTACCACCCGCAAACCGACGGACAAACCGAGCGCGTTAACCAAGAGCTCGAGCAGTACATCCGGATCTTCACCAACTACCAACAAGACGACTGGGACGAGCTTATCCCTGCCGCTGAGTTCGCCTATAACAACCACGTTCACTCCTCCACTCAACAGGTACCCTTTATGACGGACACTGGCCGGCTTCCCGAATGGGTTTCGAGCCAGGCGCCCGCTCAGAGTTGGAGTCGGTAAACGAGTTTCGATCGGGTAGCTAACGGCGTCTCCGAGGCAAAGGCCGCACTCGTTAAAGCCAAAGACGAGTATAAACGGTACTACGATCGGAAACGTTCGGACGCTCCGAAGATTCAAGTTGGTGATAAGGTTTGGTTAGATGCCTCTGACATCAGAACAACTCGGCCCTCCGAGAAGTTCTCCCACAAGCGCCTCGGACCGTTCAAGGTGCTCGCAGAGGTTAGCAAAGGTGCCTACAAGCTAGACCTCCCCCCGCGTTACTCCAAGCTCCACCCCGTCTTCCCCGTTGTTAAGCTCGAGCCCGCTCAGGACGACCCCTTCGACGGACGACCCGGCTACGACGAACCGCCCCGAACTAGAGGACGGAGTTCCCGAATGGGAAGTCGAGGAAATCTTGGATGCCAGGATAAGGTATAAGCGTCTTAACTATTTCGTCAGGTGGAAAGGCTACGATGCTTCACACGACTCGTGGGTTCGGTTCGACCGTGTCTTTGCGCCAGACAAGATTGCGGACTTCTATCGGAGATACCCGGGTAAACCACGGCACATCGCCTCAGCAACCTTCGACTCGCTGCCCTTCTCGTATTATGCGTCGGGACGCCGCATTCAAAGGGGGGGTGATGTCAGGGGAACCCCGCTCGGCCTCCTTCGGACCCTCCGAACGCATCCGAGGCGCATCCGACCGGCGCCCCCTCGGACGCTCCGACCCACCCCGACCATCGTCCACGGCCTCCTTCGCCCGCACAATCACCGATCCGTCAAGACCCTCCCAACGATCACCTTGGGACAGAGCCTGCGACGCCGCTCAGGCCTTCTGCGCTCTACGTCGGCAGTTACGGACGACCAGTATATAGTTGGCGCCCTAGCAGGCGGACCCTTAGAGTTTCTTCTCTTTGGATCCTCCCCTGCTAGGTCGGTCCCTCCGTGTATTTCCCGTAGCTTTTATTCACGCTTTGGATCCTCCCCTGCTAGGCTTTCGTCGGAGTCTCCAGGGTTGCCCTTACATGCGCTGTTACGGGGCGATGAACGCCGAAATATAAGAAGACGGGTATGTGTTATCGCTCAGCTTACCTTTCCGCCAATGACCATCGTGAAAGACACCAACTCGCCACTTGTTGTGGTCGTGGGTGGGACCGGGGCTCAAGGCGGCAGCGTTGTGCTTGCCCTTTCGGAATCCGACAAGTCATACCGCATTCGCACATTTACTCGCGACACTGCCAAACCCTCTTCGATGGCGCTGTCCAGGCATGGTGTCGAAGTTATCGGCCTGTCTTTGACAGCTGACGACAAGGAGGCGGTCTTCGCGGCCTTCGAAGGCGCCGACTATGCCTTTGTAAGTACTTATGTTTTTTTTTCCTCTGGTAAAGTGTACTCACATGTCCTACTAGTTGCTCACCAATTGGGCGGAGCATTTCGATCCAGGTCGGGTGAGTCATAATCCCTTCAATGCTGCAGACAACTCAGGCGTATACGGGGTTTTTTTTAAAAACATCTCTTGTAATTAGAATATTAACATTTTTAAAAAACATCAGTGATTTACAAGTCTTCCCCTCATTTTAAGAAAATCCACGCTGTCAAACTCCGTATCTTTCTTGGCACCTTGGCATCAACAATTTTTTTCGTCTTTTTTAGCCTTTCCCCTACTCAGTATTTTCCCCATACTTAAGGAATTTTCCACACATCAGGTCTGGGGCCTTATAGCTACCACACTGCCCCCCCTGACAAGGCTTTTCAACCTTTTAAACCTTTTTTTGATCTCTCATTTCCCTATGTAAAACCCGCCTTTTAGCAGGGGCATAAATTAGAGGCATTTTTTAAAAACATTAACACTGGTAATGAGAAGGCTTTTTTAAAAAAAACCCCGTGTACAGGTGGACAACTGTTGACAGAAACAGCAGAAGGTAAACTCATGATTGACGTGGCGAACGCTGCCGGAGTTAAGGGCATCGTCTGGTCAGGGCTTCCCAGCATGGCATCCGAGTCTCTGTCGCGCGGCAAGTACACACAAGTCTGCCATTTCGAAAGCAAGGTCCGCGTGTCGGAATACGGCAGGGCATCAGGCGTCCCCTTCGTTGTCCTGCAAGCAGGAGGCTATGCGAGCAATATGCGCACCATAATGCGCCCGAGGAAGGTCGCGGCAGATGTCTGGGCAGTGAGCCTCCCCATCGCACCGTCGGCGCCAATACCGCTCATCGATGTCCACCATGACTATGGGCTCTTTGTGCGCAGGGCAATCGAAGCGACCGTCTTCCCTGATAGGCAGACGTGGGCGGTGTTTGCAGAGATGCTGAGCAGCGAGGACCAGGTCCGACAGCTTTCTGAGGGTGAGTGGAGATAACTAGCTTCCTTTCCGTTTGGTTTCCTCACCTTTGGTGTTTCTCAGCGACAGGCAAGAAGGTTGTCTTCAATCAAATCACATCCGCGGCCTTTGTAGCTGGGATGACCGCCGCTGGTATGCCAGTTCATCTGGCCGTGGCCTTCGACGAGCTATTCGCTGCCATTGGAGAGTTTGGGTGTAGGCTTTTCTTCTTGTGCAAACGCCGAATATGCTGATGTGTCTTTTTAGACTACACTGAAGACGCCGTTCAGCTTGGAAATTGTCTAGGGCGTAGGGTAAGGACATGGAGAGATTATGTACAGGTGCAAGTCTGGGATGATGTCTTTGATGCATAATCCTTTAGAGTCTAGATTCTAGAATTTCAGGTTAGAGAGAGCAGGCACTATTCCTATGGCGGTTACTTTAAGCAAAAAAAATAAATCGCAAGACATTTACTGTCTCGCAAGCATTTTGGACCAAATCTTGAAATTTGCCAGCAGCCAGCCTTTTGCCCCTTGCGACTGTTGCCTTTGACATTCAATTTTGCGAGCCTTTTTTTTTAATCGAGCGCAAGCCTCCTATATTGCAGACAACTTGATTAACTGTTTGAACAGTACCATAGGGCGTTGCGTAAGCATTTCTCGACGGATTTGGCTGTAACTGACAAGAATAGTACATAATTATATGCACTACCTTTATAAAATATTTCCATTCAAAAAAAAATGCATTGTAAGATTGGTGTCGCATTTATTACCAGTAGGGATTGCCTTTTTTGGAGAAGTGTAGTTGCACAAACAAAACAATAGTCAGGTCTAGGTCTACTTTGGAGATGATTGTCCACTCTGCTCAAGATAACCTGGATGATAAAACAAGCCCTAGTGTTTAATAAGTTGAAGGCCCGGAGATTGGAGTGGCTGGAAGGGGTGGAGCAAAGTGGCCAGATTTCTTTATTTTACTCAAAGTAACCACCATATACTATTCCTAGTAGTAAGTAGTGCTGGCCATTATTATATTATCTATTATCATACCATATTACTATTATTATTCCAGACTATATTACATTACGATATTATCATATTATTTAATAGTATTATTATATTATTATGGCTCTAGCATAATATATTATCATAGCAACTTATATGTCAGCCCCAAACTTATGAACCTTATAGAAAACCAGCTTGTATATTAAGTAACTAGTATTCCTTCTATTCTTATCCTCATAGTATTCTTGCATATAGTGATAAGGCTAATTGTTACCTGGTAATGATAATGGCTGAAGAAGATTGACATATTGGACGACTTATTAACCACTAGCATAAAAGGATGCTGAGAAAAATACCTGTTGACAAGGGTGTGGGAAAAGTCAGTGTGCAGACTTTCAAAAGGGGAAAATACTGTAGTATTTTACTCAGTTCGTATGTCACGCGTCACACAGGCTATAAAATTCGAAATTTTTCCGCATGTCACACCATTTTGCTCAAATTCCTGTCCCAAAAAGGTAATTTATGACATTTCCGATTTTCGTATCAGATGTCACACCATTTTTGGCATTCGAATTGAGTAAAATACTACAGTATGTTATCTATGAGAGGATGACATGAAAACTAACTAAACATACAAATTTAAATATTCAGAGGTACCAATGAGGGTTATACAATATCAGTAATTGGTGATGTAGTTTGAGAGCCCAAAATTGCCTTTTTAGGCAATTTAATACATCCCTGTTTTGAAATTGGTTTTTAAATGCCCCAGGTATTAAAAACAGGATGTAAATGTCTAGGTATTTTAATCCTGCATCCTGATCTGATTCACTAACACCGTACAAAATGGATCATTATAAACGCAATTGCGCTAACATAGCAACTAATATCTGGTCCGACCGAGTCTATGCCCGCTGCGGATGCTCTGCACGCGGTATCTCCACCAAAAGTACCGCCCGCCCATACACATGGTCCAACACGGGCTCATTCCCCATTGCAATATACGCCGACTCGGCCCTATTCCTCTCTCCCTGCGGTTCCGTCACCCAACACACCGACACCAGCTGCTCGTCATCGTACAGCTTAGTCCACGCCTGGCGCCCCGCCGCGGTTGTGCGCACGATCGGCTGCCCCACGCGTCTCAGCTCGTCATCGACCTCGCTGTCCTCCGCCAACCAGACCCTCCGCAAATCGAGCACGCTGTCGAGCGCCATGCGCACGCCCTTGCCACTATCGTAGTCCATGTCGCCTGGCGTGATATACACGAGCTTGAGCGTCGTCTTGAGCCCGGCCCGGGCTGCCGCACGCTGCATCCGCGCATCCGCCCCCTTGAGCATATAGAGCACATGGCCGAGGGTGGTGGGGTCGGAAATCGTGCGCGGGACAGGGTACTCGTGCTCGAGCCCAAAGCCCAGAAGACCGCCGTCGGGCAGGAAAGCGGGGTCGGCAAGCAGCGCAGCCAATGCACTCTGGCAGGCGACTTCGACCTCAGACAGCGGCTGTTTTGTGTTCAGATGCAGCGAGGACGATTTTGGCGAAATGAGCAGATTGTAGGTGAGTGTGACCCGGTGGCCGGAGACAACGGGCTCAACAGCATGCGTGACATCGCTAAAGAAGGCGACGTATGCGATTGAGCCGCCTTGACCGGAGAGTCGGACCGCAGAGTCAAAAGTGAACGAGTTTTTGCCGTGTGACAAGTTCAGTTGTCCGCCCCGATGCTCTGTGGGGAGAACAATGACGAGCGAGCCGACCATGCTTTTTCTGCGGGGCGTGTCTTTATGAGACTTGAAGAAAGATCCAGGGCCCGGAGGACATTCAATAAAAGGCAGAACTTTTCGAGGATTGAACTCACTATACACATTTAGCTTATACAGCTCCGCCGTGATAACCGCGTCCCCGCGTCCATCCAACAAGTCGGGAGTAATTTCCTCGAGAATATTAAGCGTTCCAATGTCAAGCGATGCCGCAAAGTCGCCGCAGTCGAGTTTCCCTGCCTTGCGGTAGCCCTCGTCAAGCACGTCTTCCGTCCCCCGCCCAAATGTCGCGGGCTGACACGCGGCAGCGAGGTCCTGCAGCTGCGCCTCCGTTGCCTCTCCAAAGTTGAGCATCGCCAGGCTTCAAAAAACGGTCAACGTTGGAGCAGCTGCAACGCACAACGCCCACCGTTCAGTGCCAGCGTGCTTGTAGAATAGCGCCAAGTCCTCGCGTCGGACGTCAAGCACACCGCATGTCCACGGCGTAGACTGCTTCATCGCGTCGCGCAGCGCCGAGAGGTGCGCTTCCGCCATTGTCGTGGTCGAGGTCAAGAAGGGCTGCCCCCTTTTCATGTCGAGTCATAAACACGTGCCCGTGACACGTTACTTGTGCCCATGAGCCTGATGCTTTCCTGTGGTTTCGAGCTGCTGGCCACAACAAGGAGCTGATAGAGCAGAAGGTTAGCGCGGGACATGAGTACTACAGCTGAGCACTTGCCTTACACGCGCTAGCAGGAACGGCTAGCTGTAAACTTGAATCAGTAAACTTGAAACAGTAAACTTGAAACAAGTACGATGGGCATGCCATGCGTCAGCGGTCACGCCGACAGCAACAGCGTTGGCCCATAGGGCACGTGGCCACAGACAAGACCCGCGGCAGCGCCAACGACGGCGTGCAGCGGCTCGCGGGTGTCGGTAAGTGACGACCGGCTGGCCGGGTGCGTGACCCGAGGCACGTGTCGCTTACCAACCCGTCTCCCGCCTTCCCCGTCTCCCGGTCGCTTCCCCCACTCGGACCTGCCCGCTGCCCCGGGACGCACGAGCGCGGCCGGCTCAAGACGCGCCGAATGCGCGGCCGCCAACGACACTGCGATGGACCGCGCTTGCTTGCTGGGCCATCGCTCAACGGCAAGGCGCTGAAATTTGTCTACGGATGCTCGACTGCTGACTACCGTGTCCAGCTGCTTGCCGACCTGCGACTATGGGTCCCGAACGACCTCTCCCACCCCAGCAGCCCTCGAAAGTGGCCAGATCGACACTGGAAATAACAAGTGTGTCAGCGCGGATGCCGAGAGAACGAGGAGGAGAAAACGCACCATTTTGGAATTGCCAGCGTCAAAATGCTGAAAATGGAGGTTAGCATGCGGATGGAGGGGAGGAGAGTGTACGTTTGTCATCCGCCATAGCACTTCTCCTGCTAACTGTTGTTATGGACGTTGTCGAGCGCGACTGTGTAGGGACGGTCAGCAGGCGAGAATAGTGAGATTCTATATGTCTGTCACCAGCACCGTTTGCTGAATAGTGATCCAGTTTTCCAATAGCCGCCCAGGACAACGACTCAACGACCATGCTCAACGACCATGCTGCAAATGACCGTGAGGAGGGAAACTTGAACGGGGAAGGAACGCACATGAATCTGTGGATTTGACGATTCAAATCTGCAAGAAGGCGCGGACAAATGAGCTCTGTCGGCCGGTAAGTACATATCAAGGGCCAAAACGAGTACTAACTTACCTTGAAGGTTTGCGAATGAAATCGGTTGGATCAAGGCCTATGCAAAGTAAGTTGACGCGTTCGCGGATGCATCGCATGGACTCAACTCCTCCTCCAGCAGCCCAGCTTGAGTTTGGCGAAGGGGCCAGGAACGATGCCGATGACGGCCGTATGAGGAAGGAACAACACGGGAACAAGGCTGTAACAAGGTAAGCGTTCGACACAATGGTAATATTGTGAAGCTGACCTTGGACAAGGAGCGCGTGTCGAGCTTGGAGGTTGCATATATGTCTGACAAGCGGTAAGCACAGGAGTCTTCAAACCAAAGACGACCCACTGCTTCATTTACTTAATAATACGTCGGGGTCCTGATGGTCCGGTACCGATGAATCCTGTCCCAATACAACCGTTCAACAAGAAATACTTGCTGCCGAGCCGCGTATTTTGGCCTCGAATGCCGAAACCATCTTCAGAGTCGACCTCCGGGTCTAAAGTGAGATTTTTCAGTGCTGATGGCATAATCGCCTTCCTCTCCAATTTTTCGCATGATGGTCGCGTCCTCCTCCTTCCCTCCCCCCCTCCATGACGGACGATGTCGTGCCCCAATTGCTTCACATTCTCGTTGTTGCTTTGCACCTGGCTGACCGTGGCAGAACGCGCGCATCATCGCGGACAACTTGGGCCAAATCCGAGTCGCTTGAAAGTCCGCAAGAGCTTCTCACTCCCCAATCCGCTCAAATTTTCCTCTCAATTCCACCCATCCCTTGACCATCACTCCGAATCACCTCCGCCAACGCGTATGTCGCCCTTCGACGAAGAATCGCCGCCTATGCCGCCGCAAGACAAAAGGTGCTTGACAGCAACCTTCCCCCTGGAATGGTGGGGAAAAAAGAATTAGGTAGAAGGGGAAGAGTATGGTGCACAACGAGATATACTCGATAGAGCGCCAGCTGCCGCGTCGTGCGAGATATGTCGCCGTCTTTCTATCGCGGGCGAGCACGTGACTTGCCATTTTGGGAAGTCGACGCCGATTGCATGGGGAGGGTGCAGGCGTGGGCGGGGAGGACGGGGGAGGGATAAGAGGGGAGCAGGGAGTTATAGTGAAGGTGTGTGGGCGCAGTTAAAAAAGCTACAATGGTCCACAAGCTGGACCCAAATTGCCCACTGTCGAAGTCAGTCGACATCGGTCGGATACGAGCCCCAAGACTGCAAGGGCAGTCTGCGAAGATGATGTCGGAGCGACAGATGAAGAGTTGTGCAGTAAGACATGCTATTTGCTCCTGACAATGAAAGCGGCGGCCTTCCTCCTCTCGAATCGACACAAGGAGATAGTGGTGTAAGAGGGTGGAGATGTACCACGCTCGATACGCTGGGCGGAGCGCTATTGTGCGGGATATGTGGTCTTGGAAGGTTGACGTGCCGCCACAAGCAGAGGAAAGCACGACACATTCGAGGGCGGAAGTAGTCGATGGAAAGCAGGAAGCGTCCACAAACTAGCAGATGAGTTGGGAAGGTCGCCAACTTTGAAGGTGAGCATTACTTGCATGCCGAGGAGGTCCTGCTGTATGCAGATATGACAGCGCGAAAGCCAATGTAGTAGTGGCTGTCGGGTCGTGCTTCTTTGTAGAGTTGCTGCGCGGGCCAGGATGGGTGGGTTTGGCTCATCCAATTGCGTTAGGAATTCGCAAGGAGCCTGGAAGTGGCGACAGAGATGACGAAGGAGCAAGAAAAGGGCCAGTGGGACTTTGGAGCATGTAAAGACCACGTTGTCGACAGGAAGGTAGAGCAACGACTCACACAAGTTCCCGAGCACATATGAGCGCGAGCCCGTAGCCTGTCGAAAATGGCCGCTCTGGCAGCAGCGGGCTCGCAACGCCGTCGTCTCCACGCCTAATGTAACTCCGCACAGTGGCCACGCCGACGACAATCATGGTGCTACTTGGAAATGTAGCGGGGAGCTAGGCGCGGGCGAATACGCTTCCGGAATGTAGTGCGGAGGTACTGGGCATGTATGTCAGCTTAAAGACCTAGTTGACGAGAAGATGGAGACAGCAGACGCACCTCCTACTCCCACCAGCGCTCCCATCCTACTCCCACCAGCGATCCCAACCTCCCATTCCCCTGCCTCCCCTAATAGCACACTACGTTTGGCGCTGCATGTCGCGCGCAGATCCCTAGGCGATGTTTCAGGCGTCGCAAGCGATGGAGTCGGCCATAGCCATCGTGGTGGAAGTGGAGAAGAAGATCGGTGAGATCACATGCTCGGGCCGATCTCTGTCTTCTGCGACGACGACGGCTGCGACTCCTCTCCCGCCTTTCGCCAGCCAATGTTACTCAAGCGGGAACATGGTAGACTACTACTCTTCGGCTGTGGTATGCACACGCCCGCATCACTGTCGGCATAAGTACCCTGCTTGGCTCATCGAAGCTCACCGACTCCGACAGAATCCTGCGGGCACCAAAACGCGGCGGAGGGAGCTTGCCCTGATCATGATACCTTGAGAAGGTATCCTGCTGCTCTCTTCGTTCGTCACACCAACCATCCGCCCAGCACCTCCGTTTCTGCCCTTGAGCCTCTCTCGCGCCACTGTCAGTCAGCGCAGCAGTGCAACGTCCTCAGCTGCCCCAACGGCAGCCCGGGCTGGTGGAAGATCCTGGTCTTGCAGTAATGCTCATGCGCCGGCGGTACTATGGCTGAAAAAGTACAGAATGGGTAGGATTTGCCCAAGATTTGCCAGCACTCTGCCCTCCACGACAACCCAACAAGCGTTCCTCTCTTCCGCCTTGCCTCCGACCCTCGCGCGAGTCCTTCCGCGAAGCCGAGAGATACAAAAACTTGGCGCGTTGACTCAACCCAGCTGCTGTTGTAAATCTGCATTAACATGTTCTGTCAGGATTGAGGTACTTGTGTATCGAAGTCGTACAAACATGCGGGCCTCTCAGTGCCATGCGCTACCACAAGCACATGTGGCTGTAGATACGACTGGCAATGCGTGTGTCCTTTGCAAATCACACGGCCTATTAGTACGCTTCCTGCTCCCAAACTTCGCCGTACTTGCTTCATACTAGCACCTACGCCCTCCTGCATGCAAGGTGTTGCGCCAGACAACTGATCCGCCGTTCTATTCCTCCCATCAACCGAAACACACCCTACGACCGCGCCTCCGCACGCACTCGGTCCACACTTCGCACATAACCGGCTTACCGTACCTCTACCTACCTGTGACGACTTGCGCCGTTCCGCCCATTCTTCGGCTCTCGGCTCAGTATATCCACCTTGATTGTGGTCTCCACAGCGCAATCGGCGAGCATGCCCGCCTCTTGCTCATGATCACTCGCCATACGGTGCAAATCGACGATTCGAAGGTGCTGCAGTGACTTGCCAACGATGCCATTGGCATCGCGGACTCACCGGCATGGGGAGCATACTAGTAGGATTCGGATGGATGATACTAGTATGTATCAAAGATCGCGATTCGCAGCAACGGCAATACATTCTCCAAGAGCATTGCACGATGCCCAGGACTGTGGTTCATCGCCAATTTTATAGCACGACGGGCGCAACATCTTCTGCTAACCGCGTTTGAGGTCGCCACGCTAGCATGATCCCCACATTCTGGTGTGCGCGCTTCACCGACTACCGCGTTCTCAAGTCCTCCAGCATATTCTCGTGGTTCCTCGCTGACAGACAGCGACAATTTCACTGTACTCGGCGGCGCGCGTTATTGTTCTTGTCTTGCCCTTTGCCATGTTATGTTCTCTACCTCCAACCGCGCTTGCAGACGTCAACTGGGGCGTACATACATTCCACAATTGTAACATAATAGATTCTTTGCAAACTACTGGAAACCACGAAAGAGCACTACATTCGAATTCTGCAGTAGGTAGATATATATCGTAGTTTATGTGTTCATCCAGAAGTGGAATGACGATCCAAGAGACAATTTCTCCGCGCAAACAAGGGGGCAACTGTCAAGGAGAGTCGTTGGAAAAGGAACGACGGAAGTGGAGAAGCCGAACCTTCATTTGTGAAGACCTGAGAGATATCGTTATCTTGCTTGGGAGCTCCGAGTCATCCAACTCGCATGGGCAACTCGGCAGTCGGCATATGCCTAAGGTGTCCTTCACCAAACGCCTCGCAACGGCCGCTTCAAACGGTCTCCCAAGCTCCCCCATCCCTTAAGCACCGCCCCAAATCGCCTCCGCTGACGCGTATGTAGCCCTTCAACAAAGAAAAGTCGCCCATGCCTCCCATATGGCGGTCGGAGAAAACACGTTCTATGGCGGCCTTCCCCGTCGAATGGTGGCGAATGAAGAAATAGATACGAGGGGACAGGTATGAGGCACAACGAGATACACTCCGCAGAGCGCTAGCTGCCGCGTTGAGTAAGATATGTGGACGTTTTTCGGGCGAGTGGATGTGCACGTGACTTTCCATATGCGGACAAAAATTTTGATTCGCTTGGGCGGATGGTGCAGACGTCGACAGAAGAGCGCAGAAGCTGAGAACGAAGCAGGGAAGTATGTATATGTTGCTTGGGAGGGGATATTGTTGTTCATGTGGCTAAACGGCGCTTCAGACATGGAAGATGTAGAGAAAAGTGGACCGTACCTTCCACCGTGCTTGTCGCGCAGAGATGAGATGGGTAGTCGTATTCCGGTCGGTCATCGCGATTCCCTTGACCAGATAGAGGGCAAGGGGACGTCTGTGTCGACTGACCAGCGACGACGCTTAGCCGAAGCGCGGAATTTCGCGGTCGAAGGCCGGCGGGCTGCTTCACAACGAGCAACGCATCTTCTTTGTGCGGTTGCGGAGATAAATCATGGGTGGATGTGCCATTTATGGCAGGGAGGACACTTTAGCACTTTGTCAATGGATGAAGTAGGCGGGTGGTCAAGCACGCACTCGAGAACACTAGTATGCATGGCGGTCTTCCAGATACGATGGCAGTCTCCCAGATACGGGAAGAATGACGGGTCCAGAGACCGTCTGACAGAAAGTGTTGCTGGAGAATGAGAATGTCGCGGTATTGCGACCCTGAAATCAAGTCGACAAAGAACCTGCGAGGGAGAATGTCAGTACCAACCTTGCGTAACGAAAGTGACTTTCGCGCACCTGTATCCACATCCGTTTGTCTCCCGCTGCCCTCTCGAGAACCGCCCAAAACTCCATCGCCGCCCCGTTGCTGCGAACCGAATGTCCCCCATTTGCTGATAGTTCGTTGTTGCTGTACGCAGAAGGCATTGCTGCAAGGCCGCCCGAGCGTAAAGCTCTAGGTACTTATTGCTATTCTCTGAATTAGCCACATCTACAAAGGAAGGCGAGCGAAAACGCACATTGCTCCGTTGCCAATTAACTCATCCAGCCTCTCGTCTACTCAACTCCCAGCGGCGCATGTAATCGTTTCTCTGGATGCCAGGTCAGCAAAACGGAGAAGGGCGTGCCGAACAGCCCCACTTTTGCCTCCTCAGCCAAACACGGTCTTCGCCCGGTCAGCCGTTGTCCCTTTGGCTTCGATTTTGAGTTGGAACGAGATGGGTATGCTGCGGGCTGTGCACTGCAACGGCCGAAATAGATGGATGGACATAGGGGTGACGGTAAGAGAGAAGGAAAGTCTGATGCATCGTCGCTGTGACAGTCGCCATTTTGCTCGTTGTTTCTCGCCACCAGGACTACATAATCGTGCATTGCAACATCCTTTTCTACTCTCAAGTAACTAGTTGCCCGACGCCTGAATCCCGTTGACCCCCATTTTTATTGTATCCGCGATTTCGACTGCTTCCGCTCTTGCCTGCGACATGCCCACCCGACTTCCGCCAGAGCTTTATGAGCCTATTCTTGCCAACATCTCCAACGAGGACAGGCAGACACTCTCCTCATGCTCTTTGACCTCGACTTCATTCCGATGCCCTGCGCAGAAGCAACTCTTCTCGGCTCTCCGCATTGAGACCGGCTCCTACGACCACGCTGCCGGCCTCCTCGAAGCAAAGCTTTGCGCCATATATAACCAGCCTCCACATCGTGCTTACATACGATGCGGCGCACTGGGAAGAAACCACCCCGTTGCTGAGTCTCAGGCTGTCTTCAGGAGGCTCACCTGCGTTCGCAGCGCTACTATCTACAGCCTGCCACCATTGTTCAGCTTGAAATCGGGCCTCGTCATCTCGCTCCTGAGTATCCTACAAGCCCATGGACAGCTGCGGTGCTTTGCCCTCCACAATGTTCTCTCCCATAACAGCGCGCCGTCACTGGTCCATGTCCAACTCGCTTTCAAGCATCTCGCAGCCGTCAACAAGGACTACCCCTTCACCGAGAGTGCAGAAACACTCCAGCTTCTTGACAAATCACTGGACCGCCACCCCGCCATCCGCATCGTCGAATGGCATCTTCTCGTGCACTACCGCCAGGGCCCCGTCCGCGATATACCAAAGCAAGTTGCATCCCTGGAGATGAAGCTCCACAAATATCTGCCAAAAGCGCCGGCGTTTCAAAAACGGTTGATAAGAGTGACTGCAGGGGTCTCGATATTCATTGTTAACTTTGGCCACGACCACTATGGAGAGTGAAGATTGTTTGAAGTAATCACTGTTATATGTAAACTTGAATTCCGGGCCGGTACAAAGTTGGCAAAATAGCTATAGTAGTAATTTACAAACGTGGAATATATGTGCTCCAGTTCACATCGACAAATGCCTGTGGGGGCAGTGAGCGCAGCGTAGACAAGGATAACATGATTAAGATAATCCGCGCTATGCAGTACAGTGCAACATCGAGTGGTGCAAGCACCTGTCGCAATGTCGTTGCGTAGCGGGCCAGCCATCTTGGCTTAAGCCGTGGGTCATCCCATTGTGAATCACTATACCCCATTGGTTGTGTCCACATGAACCACAACAGAGGGAGAGGTAGGGCAGTGATGAGAATGGCGGACCATGGCGGGAGTATATACGAGAATGGTGGGAGTGGGACTCGTGCCAGTCCCACTCCCGGTGCAGCTTGACGTCGGCTAGACGAGTTTGGTGGGACTCAGCCCATCAAAGTGAGATGTGGTGGGACTCGAGTGATTGTTTCAAAACAGTGCATTTGATCGGGTGGCGGCGCCGGCGGCGGCGGCCGGGGTTGTCCACCCCGGACCCCGACCAGGGCGTTGCCCTGGACCCACCCTGCCGGGGGGGCTTCGCTCGCCGCGTGGCCCGTTGCGCGGAGGTATAACAATTTTTTCCTTAATTTCTCGGGTTTTTTTGAAGGAGTTCGAGGCTTTCGATGAGTAGATTGCGGCGCTGGCCGCGACGGCCAGGGTTTTCCACCCCGGACCCCGACCAGGGCTTCGCCCCGGACCCCACGCTGCCGCGGGCTGCTAAGTCTGATCGCTGATTTGATATCAACCACAATCATCTACAAGTCCCACTGAGATGTTCGGGTCCCACAGATTGGATGGGAGTGGGACTGACACACGCCACAACCACATCTCAATGGCTGACGGAAAGATAGCGGCCCAAGCGAGGCAATGCAGTCCTCCGAACAGCATGCCGCAAATATACTGCGTTGACGTCAAAAAGCGCATGTCTTTGCGAAGGCATGTGGGATCTGTGTATCCTCGCCAAAATGTCGGCACGTGGGTAGCAAAGCGGGGCCGGAAGTCGTGGTAGAAGTTTAACATGAGGTAGCGCAGAAGCCGTTGGTGCCGGTACCCACCCAGTGGGGTCTGCACAACCTGAGGAGCCTCACTCATGTGCAGAGGAAGTGCTGGCGGGATGGGGCCGTGCCTAGACTCCAGAGTAGCCTGAGTGGGCAATGGAACAAGGATGGGGTCGCGCACGTCAAGCGGCTTTGCGATCCAGAGCAGCCATGTGACGGCGTTGAGGACTGCAAACCCCAGTGTCGCAATTTCCAGCTCTGCAAGCGGGAGATGCTGCGAGCGGCGGGCAATGCACTGTAGGATGAACCACAGGACTTGGCAGAGCGCAATTCCCTTTGAAAACACATCGCCTTTGCTCTTGTCCTCCAGAGCTGATTCAGGGATAGCTCGGATGGCGCCGACAACCCCTGGCTGAGAAAGTTGTTCATCTATTGCAATTGGAATACCATCGGCGTCGACGAAGCCACCCATGACGATAAAAAAGCCGTGGGTCAATGAAAGGTTGTTCTCTAAAAATGTGATGTTAGATACCGAAGTACCAGTCGCAGATCGACCAATGAAATCACCACACACCTTGAGCTAGACCGCGGGCTTTGACATATTGTCTTGCGGCAAATCCATTGATGAGCTCCGGTGCCACGAGGGCGACCACCATCAGCTTCAGGCGCTGCAAAATTGGTCCGTGTGTATCGATGAGGTACCAGCGAATCCAGTACCAAAGCCCACCGGCATGTCTAGGCCATCCTGGCTTCTCGGGGTGTGAGGAATAGAGTATATTCGATGTCTGGTACGATGAGAGAGAGCTTAGTAAAGATGTACATGAGTAGTGAATAAGGAGTCATACCTGGTACGATGAGAGAGAGCTTAGGAGCTCTTCCCATCGCCCAGGTTCCAGATACATGCAAGATCGGAATGCGGTACAGATTAGATCAAGGAATAGTTTTACCACTCGTCGCTAGGGATGAGCACGGGTCCGGCTGACCCACGCGGGTTGGCGGGTTTGAGCCGTGCGGGTACGGATCCGGGTCAGCTGCTCCTTAACCCGTGCCTACTCAGTCTAGCTGGCTTATGGTGATTTACTGTTGCCTTGCCGGTTGGAACTTCACCAAGGGGTCCCGTGTTCAATTATGTCTCTTGCTCCTCTTTTTTATCGGTATTATTTGTCGCCAAATTCTCCCTCCACCTTGCAACCCGGCGGGTGACCCGTACCCGGAGCCGCGGGTCACAGATCAGTGGCTGTGCAGGGCTGGGTCCGAGTCATCCTCCGGACACCCGTGGGTTGACCCGTGCTCATCCCTACTCGTCGCGTCATTGTCTGACACCCCCCCTTGACGCGCGTCTAGTCGTAGTAACCTGACCCACCGAGCGTGCATGACTCGATGGAGAGGCTTTGTAAACAGGTCGGCAATGTTGTCGTTGCCTGCGACATGCATTACATCAATCAGCCGCCTCAAGACACAGTCGCGGATGAAATGTTCGCGAATCGAGATGTGCTTCATTTTTGAATGAGCGTGTGGATCATGTGTGCAAGCCACAGTGCCTTGGTTGTCGCAAAATAAGGACGTTGGTTGTCGCTGGGGGAAACCGAAGTTCGGTCATGATGTTCCGGAACCAGAGTATATCCTTCGGCGCAGTGTGTCGTGGCGAGATACTCAGCTTCACAAGAAGACAGAGCCACAACGGCTTGTTGTTTGGAACTCCAAGACACCGGAGAGTCACCAATGAAGATAACGAAACCAGAAATAGATTTTCTGTCGTTTCCCATTCCCCAGTCTGAGTCGCTCAGTGCTGTGAGTATCGGCTCCAGCTCGCTTTTGCCTCCGAGTAGGACGCCGTGGCTTGAGGTTCCGCGAAGGTACCGAAGGAGGTGTTTTGCCGCAGTTACATGAGTCGGCCCATACCTAGCCATGAATCGTGCCAGTTCTCGCACAGTATATGATATGTCGGGCCGAGTACAAGTCGATAGGTACATGCAGCGTCCCACCACTGCTGCATATGGATAGTCTTTCGCCTTTTCGACTTCGTCATCGGTAGGAGGGGTAAGACGTGTGCTCGGGTCCATCGGAGTTTGCACCGAATTGCTCTTCTCGAAACCGAAGTCGCGGAGGATTGTTTCGGTGAATGATTTTTGGTGGAGGCGTATAATGTGATTGGTCCGGTCTCGCTCGACTGCACAACCCAGGTGAAGGTTGGGTTCGCCATTATCAGTGATCTCGAATTGGGCTGAGAGTGCTGACACAACTGCATCGGATTCGGTTTGGGTTGATGAAGCAATAAGCATATCGTCGACACTTGTGGTGATTATTGTGTATTCGTTGTTCATCTTCCGGATGTAGACGCTCCAATCCGATTCGACTCGCTTGAAGTGTATGCTCTCAAGCTTCGCATTGAGTTCGAGATACCATTGTCGTCCGGCCTGTTTTAACCCGTACAGACCTTTCAGAAGTCGCCAGTAACCCGGTCCAGCTATCTCAGGTTTGCGCATATATATTTCTTCGTCTAATGGTCCATTGAGAAACGCGGTTTTGACGTCAACCTGGCGCAAGACCATGTCATGTGTGGCGGCAAGCGTGAGTACGAATCGGATGGATTCCCAACGGGCGACTGGGGCGAATGTGTAAGTGTAGTCCTGGCCCGGGATTTGTGTGAACCCTTTTGCAACCAATCGAGCCTTGAATCGAGATATACGCCCATCTCTGTCTCGCTTTATGTGAAGTACCCATTTGCATGCGACCGCCTTCCGACCCGCTGGTACTTCTTCGACTTCGACGTAGACCCCTTTTGCTCGTAGTGATTCAAGTTCCTCGAAGATGGCGATGAGCCAGTGTGGCCAGTAGGCTGATGCCTTGGCTTCCGGTATAGAGTTTGGATCTTTTGCATTAGGATCGTCGATCGGGTCAGCGAGGGCTGAGTATGCGGATTCAGCTTGCTCCAAGGCGTGGGCAATCTCGACTAGTTCCTCGAGTTCACATTCGATCTCCAGCTCGTCGCCCGACAGCAGGACGGAGAGGAGATAATCTTCGGAGATGATGAAATCCTTCCCCCCCTCGTCCAATGTCGCATGGTTGATGATGTGGCGAGCGGGGATCCGTCGAATTCGTGAGGCCTTACGTTGGGCCAGCGGGGTATCGTCAATCTCGTCTGCGTTCGGGGTTGGTACCTCCTCATCAAATAATCTGTTAGAGTATTAGGGTATTCCTCTGGAATCCCAGTGCGTTAACGCACGGAGTAGCTCTTGGCTTGGATCTTATGTCCTCCATCACTTCGTCTAGAAGACGTTGCACGGGTCTATTATTCATCAGTGAATGGATCCCCATGCACGATGAAACGCACTCTGGGGTCGCACTGTGGTTGTTTCGTGTCTCATCCATCTCGGAAGGACGCCTGGTTAAACAGGTAAGTAAGTTGTGTAGTCGTTAACGACAGGACACACTTGTTAAGCTCAATGGCTGTAGTTTGCTCAACGGCACTAGTTTGCTCGGGCGGCAGGAATTTGCTCGACGACTGGAGTTTGTTCGATGGCGGGAGCCGTGGTCGCAGGCGATGTTGTCGGCATAATCGGTGTCTTGTCTTTGAAGTGCTCCTCAATCTCCGAGGGCATGTCTTCCCAGAGCGTCTCGGAGTGAGAGGGTGACGGAATGAGGTCGGGAAAGCCATGGAATTCGATATCCCGCCGTGGACGAATGATTCTCTTTGTTGGAAACCAGATAAGATAGCCCTTCGAGTCTCGAGCATACCCGACGAATTTCCCTTCCTCCCCTCTCGCTGTGAATTTCATTTGGTCCGTGGAGTCGGGCTTTCTTGCTGTTACGAGCGCGCCGAAGGGTCGAAGGTGTGAAAGATCTGGTTGATGCTTGAACCAGCTTTCGAATGGAGTGGAGCCGTCGACGTTAGCTGCGTGGGGAACACGATTCTTGATGTGAACACTGGCCTGAACGGCAAGGGGCCAAAACCACGTCGTTAAGGATGCATCGACCAGCATTGCACGTGTCATGCTTTCGATTGTTTGGTTGAGGCGTTCTGCAACTCCATTTTGTTGCGAGGCATCAGGAACCGTCTTCTCGTACGCAATCCCGTTTTCGTTGCAGTAGGTACTGAACTTGCCATGAACGAGTTCGGGCGCGTTGTCAATTCGTAGATAGATGATTTTGGCGTTCAGTAGTTTTTCTGCTCCGGTACGGAAGTCGTGGAAGCATTTCAGGGCTTCATCTTTTGTTTTCAGGAAGTAAACTGATGTGTATCGTCGAAAGTCGTCGGTGAAGGTGATGAAATATTTGAGTCCCCCGTATCCGACAGGGAATGGACCACATATGTCCGAATGGATACGAAAAAGAGGGCGCTCAGCGCGTGTTGAAGCTTTGGAAGGGAACTTTAGTCGCTTGATATTGGCTAGAGCACATACTCGGCAGTTCTTGAGTTTGACAGAGTCCATGGTGTCGGGCAAACCACGGGTGGCGTGCAGGAGGCCTTTAACGTCTAGGTGCCCCATTAGACGATGGAAAAAACCTCCTCCTTTGACGCCTCATCGGCGTCAGGCCCAAGGACCGCCACGGTGTTTGGCGTCGTTGTGTTGATGAGATCTGCATCAAAATCAGCTTCCGCGGGAATATTTGTCGAGTTGGTCAGATTTTGGGTTAAATTTGCTTCCGGATTTTCGCTCTTGATGATCTTGACTCCCATCTTGTACAACCCTCCAACGATCTTGCCTGACGCAAACGGAACACCTTCAGCATTGTAATAGTCAATGCGGCCTCCCCCTGTTTCCGTTTGGACGCCCCTTTAAGTCTAGCTGGGTGCCGGAGATGAGGTTGCAACGAGCGGTAGGGATGTGGAGGCTGTTCGTCAGCGCGAAATTGGAATCTGTAGGGTGAGTACCCTGCAAGAATACTTTTCCTTTGCCTAACGCGTGTGTAGTCAGATTGGTGCCAAAACCGTGTACGTTCACGGGGTTTCGAAAATGCTTGTATTCTTGGAACGAGGCAATGTCATTAAAGACGTGTCGGGAGGCACCAGTATCATGATAGACGTTGTCGGTGCGTGGCGGTTCATCGTTAGGCATTACACTGACCGCGTTGACCCAGATTTCTCCTTCTTCATCTTCCTCATCGATTTCCATTTGGCCAGCCATGAAGACGAAGCCGGCACCAATAGTCTCATTAGATACCGCCTCCAAAATTTCTTCTTCGCCGTCTTCGGTGAAATCCAACATACCGACAAAACGATCTCCTCCTCCTCTGTTCCTTCCATGATTCTCGCGTGCCTGCCGTCTCGATGCGGCGACTCTCTCGGCGGGTGGAAGGTGAATGTTTCGCGAGCCACGATAGTTGTCTGGATATTGACCTTCCTTCCCTCCTTTGTAAGCAAAACAATCGGCTTGACAATGACCTATTGGCGTGGCACATTCAACGTTCTCGCAAAACAGACGCTGTCGATCACGATGTGGAGAGTCATTTGGTGGAGCATTGGCATTGCGGCGGTCGTATGGCATGGGACGTCGCTCTGTTCGTTGGTACGTCTTTTGTTGGAATCTCCGTTGTGACTGCTGATTTGGTTGTGCTAATGAAGCGGTAGCGACTGCACTACTGTCAGTTTCGATGTTTGTGGATGCCGCAGAACTTGAAGCTTTGAATGCCTCCTCGTTCTGCAGTCTAGTCGACACATCTGCAGAACTGAGAGGCTTGCCTGCTTTCTCCGCCAACGTCATTTCTTGGAGGAGCGAGTCTCGACAGTATCGCCACTTTTCGGTTTGTGCCATATTTGTGATCAGGCATTTTGCAAACTCGTGGTCCGGCATCATGTCGGGATCTGCTCGACGGAGCTTCTGGTATTGTTCGAGCATCGACACCCTCCAAGCTACTGGATCCCCTGTTCCGCAGAAGAACGAGGCTATCTGCCGTTTGA